GATGACCTTGGTCCTCCAAAACGAAAGATTCCCAGGTGTCAAGAAGAACGATCCAAAATAGACCGGTCCATAGATATTGACGCCCTGTCAAACCAATTTAGATTCAGTTTATCTATATAACCTTCCAGGTCTTAAGAAACTAATAGATTGATAGACAAAATAAATAAATAAATAAATAATGATAAAAAAAGCCTAAAAGGCTGCTCAGCAGAGGGTAGCGCTGCTGCCTCGCAGCAAGAAGGTTCTGGGTTTGATTCCCCGCCCGGGGTCTTTCTACATGAGTTTTCATGATCTCTCTGAGCATGCGTGGGTTCTCTCCTGGTACTCCGGCTTCTTCCCACCGTCCAAAAAGATAAATGTTAGGTTAATTGGCTTCTCTAGATTCTCCTTAGGTGTGAGTGTGAATGGTTGTTTGTCCTGTTTGTCTCTGTGTTGCCCTACGATGGACTGGCGACCTGTCCAGGGTGGACGCTGCCTCTCGCCCGTAGACAGCTGGGATAGGCACCAGCACCCCTCGCCACCCCAATTGGGACAAGCGGTCAGATAATGTATGGATGGAAAAAGCCTAAAACAAAAAAAAAAAACAATTAAGTGTGTATCATAAGTGTGAAGCGTCTCCTGCGGTAGTGTCGAGATCCTACTGTCTCAGCCAGGGGTCTTTCTGCATGAGTTTGCATGTTCTCTCTGAGCATGCGTGGGTTCTCTCCTGGTACTCCGGCTTCTTCCCACCGTCCAAAAAGATAAATGTTAGGTTAATTTGCTTCTCTAGATTCTCCTTAGGTGTGAGTGTGAATGGTTGTTTGTCCTGTTTGTCTCTGTGTTGCCCTACGATGGACTGGCAACCTGTCCAGGGTGGACCCCGTCTCTCGCCCGTAGACAGCTGGGATAGGCACCAGCACCCCTCGCCACCCCAATTGGGACAAGCGGTCAGATAATGTATGGATGGAAAAAGCCTAAAACAAAAACAAATTAAGTGTGTATCATAAGTGTGAAGCGTCTCCTGCGGTAGTGTCGAGATCCTACTGTCTCAGCCCAGACTTCAGGGGATCTCGGAGCACCAGTGGGCCCCAGAGACGAGACAAATCCCACCACCATGTGGACTTGGCATCCGTCAACCACTGTCCCAGCTATGGGTAAATAGCCTCACTACCTTGTGAGCAGTGTTGGACACTATAGTTCAAGAAGCTAACTAGTCCCCGATTTCAGCAAGGGTTCATCTACAGATGTTTTTAGAACTGATTAGTGACCTTTAGTTTATATCTTCAGATAGTTAGTTATAGTAAGTAGAGTTATAAGTTGTTTAAGATTGGAAGTTATAAACATAGCCTTCTAGGCTTAGTTCTACTTTTCTACTAATCTGTTTCAGTAAAAGTTGGTTTAGATTCTCAGTCATCCAGGTCATAGTCATTCCAAAAAAGTAAAAAAACAATCCACTGGACTTTGCTTCCAAGTTTGAAGATGTTTCACTTTCCATCCAAGAAGCTTTTTCAATTCAAAATGTCAGAAATAGCGTTGAGTTTAAGGCTTTATAGAGTGAGCCTTGTTTTGGCTCAGATTAGGGCTGCAACTAACGATTATTTTAAAAATCGATGAATCGGCCGATTATTTTTTCGATTAATCGATGAATCGGACAAAAAATATTTTTTATATTAAAGGAATAGTACACCCAAAACATGATTAGCCTTCATTTTCTACTCACCCCCATGCTGAACAACACTCTGGAGTACTTTTTTGATATCTCAAATGCATCTGGAGATCTGGGAGGCTTCTTGCTGTCTGCTGACATTCAAATAATGGAGGTCTATGGCGCCCGAGGCAGAAAGGTCCATAAAAGTCCACAAAAAACGTGTCAATATTCCTCCATACTGCTCGTCCAATGTATTCCAAGTGTCCTGAGTGGGTAGCGTCCATAATTTACTCGAAACGAAGTCATTTAGAATGTTTTTAGAGCATAAACAGTAGTGTATAGGATTTCCTAAAAGCGCGCTCACGACGCTACGGAAGCCGGCAGACCAAACCAGATGAAAGTGCGCATTCAGCGTCTGCTCTGCCAATAATGCAAGCGTAGAAGAAGAAATGTGCTGTTTACCTGTGCAAAGAAAGAAACAACGAAAGAAAAATGTCTGAGGACTTCAGTGTTGAGGAAGAGCATGAGTTCTTTGCCGAGCTGAATGCGCACTTTCGTCTGGTTTGGTCTGCCGGCTTCCATAGCGTCTTGAGCGCGCATGTACGCGCTTTCAGGAAATCCTATACACTACTGTTTATGCTCTAAAAACATTCTAAATGACTTCGTTTCGAGTAAATTCTGGACGCTACCCACTCAGGACACTTGGAATACATTGGACGAGCAGTATGGAGGAATATTGACACGTTTTTTGTGGACTTTTATGGACCTTTCTGTCTTGGGCGCCATAGACCTCCATTATTTGAATGTCAGCAGACAGCAAGAAGCCTCCCAGATCTCCAGATGCATTTGAGATATCAAAAAAGTACTCCAGAGTGTTGTTCAGCATGGGGGTGAGTAGAAAATGAAGGCTAATCATGTTTTGGGTGTACTATTCCTTTAACCTCTTTATTTCAAAATAAACATTTTAGACAGAACAAACAAGCACACAAGTACAGGTTGCTCATTAACTGTACTGGTGCAATATGAAAAATAAATGTTTGTGTTAAAACTACGCAAACTTACATGAGAAATGTAGCTGTACATCCACAAACAATAGGCCCCCCCATTTCAACAAATGAGTTTTTTTAGACTAGAAGAGTTCTGCCTTTTAAGACAGGAAAGTATAGCAGTTAAAGTTGCTACTTGAGAAAATACTGAACCATAGAGATAAAAATAGCCCTGTGATTCAAATTATAAATTGTATTTGGAATAAAAATGAGAGAACTAGGGGTGCTAAAAAACACATCCTCCAAAGACAGATATTTACATGGAAATGTGGCAGATAATTAATTGACATATTACTGATCTTGCTGGATTTTATTCTGCTTTACTTCCATAAATTGCAGGATCTACTTTACTTTATCTTTGCCAGAAGATTTAAACTTTAAAAGCCTTACCCTCATAATTTGCAAGTTAATTTATTTATAAAGAAAATATAAACGCTGCTTAAAGCTACAGTGTGTAATTTTCAGCGACATCTAACGTCCAGACTGCAGACCGCAGCAACATGAACATCTCCCCCCCACCGCTTCTCCCCCCCAACATTACGGCGAGCGTTACGGGACAAAATGTCTTCCACGACGTCCGCATCACCTACCTTCTCAAGTGATGAGGTTTGTTTACATAGATAATTTTACAGATAGTATTTCATTAGTCTGTGTAGGGTATAGATTTCAGTACCGTCTCAGTTAATCTCTCTCAACTTGCCGTAGTTACTTTCGAGCGTAATGGGCGATCTCGCAATCGCTAGTTTGTTGGCTCTGCGCTGCCGTAGCGCGAAGATGTCTGCCTCCATGGCTGCGAGACCCGCTCCTATGTAATTATAAATAACGAATTCTAAGGCAACGCAAATATTAAGGTTAAGAGGCTGAGCTCGTAGATGATGATAAATAACATAGTTATGTATAATATATTACATTTCTGACTGTATATCCCTGTAATTATTACACACTGTAGCTTTAAGCTAATTCAAATGAAATTAAAAGTAAAATAAGTAGCCAACCTTATCACTGTCTGTAACCTACTAACACGGTAAGGAAAGCATCAGATGAGCTACCTGAGAAACTAACGTTACGTTTCCCCTCTTTAAAACCAAACAAACATAGTGGTTCCGTGCCATGTTCATTTGTTAACATGCAACAAAAGTTGCATGTTACGACTTTTTTCGCTTTACAAAGCGCAGGCTTTTTTAATTATTTTGATCAATTTGCACCGTCAATCCCGGCGCATGCGCGCTTCATTTGCAGTCTGGACGCTGAGGGTAAACATCCTGCGGCTCTGACTGCAGCGCTGAGAGGGACTCCTGCGGGAGCGGGAGAACGGGGGATGGGATGGGGCAGGCGCCCCACGGCAGAGTAGGAACGATACATGCTTTCACGTAAGAGTCTCCAAAGGCCGCTAGTGACACCGTAAAAAGTCGCCAGATTTGTCGCTAGTCGCCTTTTTGAAAAATAGTCGCTGGAGGGGTCTGAAAAGTCGCTGAGTTGGCAACACTGCACTTGCGGCGCTGACTCGCTCTGCCATATTTTTTTTTCTTCCCCTGTTTCAGTCAAGTGGCAGTGATGACGGCGGCGGATGACGCATTAATCGCGCGACACAACTAATCGATGATGAAATTCGTTGCCAACGCTTTTAAAAGTCGATTTTTATCGATTTTATCGATTCGTTGTTGCAGCCCTAGCTCAGACACATGCAAATTGTACCTGACTTCAGGTCCGCCCTTTTGGAAAGGGGGTCTTTTGGTTTTGTTGTTAGCCTGCAATACTCAAAACTGAACTTATTTTTAGCTATTAAATTGTTTTCATATTGTATGTACTATTGTGTTTGGAAGGGATTTTGATTATAGCATGTTTAGATTAGTATAAAATTAATAGAAGAGGAGAGGAAGAAGTTCAGAAGAAACAAGATTGATTAAGAGGAGAGAAGTAAGAAGCGTCTACTTGAAAGAGTTAAACAGAGAGCAGGTAAAAGTAAGAACAGTGCTAGAATGTCATGATCTTGACACTGATGATTGACTTAATTACTCATTTCACTGACATGTCTAACTCCATCTAGTTGTCGTTACTGTTCATCTGATCCACCTGCTCCTGCTTTTATTTAACCTGCCTATTTCCAGTCATCAGCGCTGACTATGCACGAGCCAGTGGTGAGGGTGTTTAAGCGTTATCTTGGTGTTTCTGGTTACTTGATCCTGACCTGTTCTGCCTCTCAACCACTGAGCCCCCCGTTCCAGTTTTATCTGTTTGCCAGACCTGTCTATGGACTCCTGCTGGATTCTGCCTGTTTACTGAATTTGGAGCTGTTTCCTGTCACCAACCTGGATTTCCCTCCACAGCCTCCTCTGACTTCTGATCTCCTGATCCTGAAACCTGAGCACCGACTCTGGCTTCACCCTCTGGATTATCCTTCCAGCTGACCAGCTGGAATCAACCACGTTCTCTGGGCACAGACAGAACTATTAAACCAGGTTAGTGATTCACGTTCATAACCTTCCTCTGCCAGATTTACGAGGTCACTAACCTGTGTTTCCTTTCAGCAGAGGTTCCTGTCTGAGGTTTAATAAACGCATTTTCAGTGATCATACTGTCTCTCTGCCTTGAATGCTGGGTCCAGCTTGATTTAGAAAGTAAAGAAGATGGAGAGGTAAGAAGACAGAGAAGACTGATAGACCAGATTACACTAATAAACACTATTCATTGATTAATTTGATTATTCTTTGGAAATAATAACATTATTAGCACATTCCTAGATTTTACATGTGATTTTTGATGTTTAAATATTGATAAATATGTAAAAAGGGGTTAAAGCATCACTGTCCCGGTTAACTATTCTAATTTTTATGTATTTCTTGGTCAGAGAGGCGTTACGGAGCTCTCTAAATATACTGCCAACAAACAGCACCCTTCTTCTCGCCCTTTTTTTTCCTGCTTTTTATTATTCAAATCAAGGGACAAACCAATTAACCAATTGTCTTTTGTGTTTCTCCCTTGAACCACCAGGAGGCGCCTGGCTCCGGTTCGCCTCCTCACACACCTGCAAGCTGTTGCCTCATCACCGGACTGCTCTTAAGCTGCTGGTTGCCACTACTTCGACGCCAGAGTGTTTGCCAGTTTGGGGAACTCTAGCCAAGCCTTGTTTATGCTGAGTCTAATATGAGTTTTTGCATTTTTGAGTTTTTGTTCTCTAGCCAAGCTGAGATCTCATAGAGTTTAACTGAGCGCTTGTTTCTCCCTGAGTCTCAACCTTGTTTGTTCTTTGCCTTTCGGCAGGAAGCCTTCCTGCAAACAGGACCTTTTGGACCGCCTCCTCCCAAGCGGGATCAGCTGAGTCTTACACTGAGCGACGGATTGGAGGAGGTTTGGATCCAGCCACCTTTGAGCACGCTGAGATCTCTCCGAGTAAGGAAGTCATCTTCACCTCGACCCGTTCAAGTACCACAGGAAAACTGAGTTGCAACCAGCGGCCACATCATTCCACTCCGTCCGAGTTCTGGGTAAACCCTGTTCCGCCCTCCACCGAATCAAACATTCTCTGGAAGACCAACACACAGACTGGAGTCTAAGTGTCTCTACTTCTCTGGAAACATCAGTGGCAACAAATCCTCTCCTTCAAGATTGACAACTCCAATTTCCCACTGAGCCTGAACCTACCAGCCTGTCTCCCCTTCGTCTTCCAGTTTCCGGCTGAGCAGAGTTCGGAGGAACTCTGCGCCAAACTCAATATACCCTTCAATAAAACCCGTTGAACTTTTATATTGTGTCTCTCTGTTTGGCTTCACTGCATGTGGGTCCGAGCCTTAGAAAGAATCATGACAGTTATAACTGTAATTTACTTATTCCCCAAGGTTCTTAGTCTTTTACATAATGGTTTTACTTCTGGATCGGCTGTTTAAAATCCAGTCGTCACCAATTTAATAATTTACACTACAGCTAAAAGCTGAGAATGTGATAAAGTAAGTTTATAGTTGAAGATGCAATTGGCTGATTATGATAACCTTGGAAAGCGATGTATAATCCACAGGAGCTTCTAGCAACATAAGAGACGGTCTTGGAAACATCGTATATGTGGAGCATTTGGGAAAGACATCCACCGCTTTAGTGCTTAGCAGGTTTATACAGTAAGAGTCAAAGAAATGATCAGAACAGGACTAAAAGCATAGATCTAGTAGTTGGCTTAGCCTGCTACCAATCATGGTTGATCATCATGCAACGATTCCTAATTAGGGAGCTCCTTTAGGATTCAGAAGAGAATGAACTGAGAGAGGTCAGGTGTGACTGGAGGCCTTGCTCCCACATATGAGCTCCCAGAGATTCTGGGAAGAGAACAGCAGCACATCCAGCAGAAACATACTCAAAAAGTCCACTGGGTTCAACTCAAAGTCCGCCATCCGGCTCCTTTTAAATATACACTTTGCTCAAAAACCCTAATATAAATGTTTAAATTGGTTAACATGCAGTCGAGCCCTAAAGAGCTCTGCTCATGAACTAATACATAATTCCATCTCAGCCAGAGTTACACAACATCCTCTGACAGGCGTTATTAAGGGCAAAGGCTCGACAAGGAAGGATCACCATAGCTCTCATACAGACCATGACAAAGAATATTAATACTCTCTGCCAATGGGCAGAAAAAAAAACATAAAAAAACAGTAAAATCCCTGCTGTCCTGTCAGAAAATGGGAGTTAGAAAATTGAAATGTGTCAGGCAATGTAAACAACACGTCTCTGGTGTTTTTTTTAATGAAACAGTTAATTTACTAGTGTTTTACCTGCTTTGTAGCGACACCCAAACTCTGGTATCTGGCAGATTAAATAATGATATAATGAATAATATGATGGATTTTACTTAATTGTCCTAATGTGCAAACTTGCCCTCTGCATCTAAATCCAGGCATACGCTGTACGATACTTTCAATGGTTGTACTCAGCTACAATTTAAACTGTATGACCAAGACTCAGGGTTCATAGCTCACTGTGCGGCATGACGCTCTGATACGATCTAACTCCTCACACTGCGCGTCCAAAAACCACACATGGGACTCAAGACACGGAGCTGGCCGGACTCGTCAATCTGGAAGAAGAACCGCCTTGTTTGCATATGTGCAGTGCATGAGGTTCAGGTTTGCTTCAGTGCACGGAATTTCAGGCCTCAACAGGGATTCTGAAAGAGACCGATGCTACCTTCACAACGCACACACTTTGGGCAGTAGAAGCAGCCGGTTTCCATGCAAAGACTATGGTCAATGCAACGTATCTTAACGCACCTAAGCATCTGAAGCAGCTGCTGCTGGGGATTTCCACTGACAGCGCACCACCAGTATGTGGGGGTCTAAACGGCTCTGACAGCAAAATCATTTTTAATGCAGGATGGTAATCTATAGCACTGAAACAGCTCTGGTGAAAGTCACTAATGATATTCTCATGGCCTCAGATAATGGACTTGTATCTGTGCTCGTCCTGTTGGATCTCAGCCTGCATTTGATACAGTTGATCATAATATTCTTTTAGAAAGACTTGAATATTTTGTTGGAATTAAAGGAACAGCACTAGACTGGTTTAAATCTGATCTATCTGATCGATTTCAGCAGTGTTGTGCCTGAACGCGTTCATTGAACGAAAGTTCATGAACTCGTTCATATTTTGGGCGAACGTGAACTGAACGTACCGTATTACTGCCTGATGAACGTTATTGTGAACTCGTTCATTCTGGTGTCTGTGAACGGCACGCTCTCTCAGTTCAACTTTGTTCAATAGGTTGCCAGATTTCTATAAAGCCCTCCAGGCGAAACCCCGGCTAAATCACACCGTAAACAGGCGTTAATATGTAGCGGAAAAAACACCCAATCTGGCAACACCAGCTACCAGTGTCGTAGCCTACAGCCGCGTGCGTCATCAAAACAAAATGCAGCGTGGAAGCCACAGCAGCATGGAGGCGACAAAGCAGCAGTATGATCACTTAAAACAATTTTATGACCAGGTGGTCGGTGAGGATGATGGCAACAATCTTACATTTCTCTGCAAACTTTGCCCGCCGGCTTTCAGTAAAAAAAATCCGCACTTAAACCTGCCTGGTATAATTTTCCAGGATTCCTTTTTAGTATGTACTGAAATGGGATTTCAAATAGAAAAAAATAATAAAAATAAAAAAAACATTTGCACCTTAAAGACTACTTTCCTGTTTTTCTTTTAATAATTCCTCATAAAAAAGACCAGTCAAGCAGCACATTTTTCCTGATGTTTTTGAGAATATACTGTAGGGGTGAAAGCTGCAGCTGCTACTAGTGTGAAGTGAATGGACAGCAACAAAGCGTTAAAGCAACAATGGGGAAATGCTGTCCCCTCAATGCTAATGGAAACCCTGGTTGGATAAGGATTCAAAACTGGATATGAAGATGAAATCTGACGCACAGTTTCAGAGTTACAACTGATAAAATAATTGCTGTCTGTGGTTCTACAGTAGGCTATGGTGTAATTGAGCAATATATGAAAAAAAAAAGAACTATGAACTAGTTCATTTTTTGGAACTGTGAACTTAGTTCATAATTTTGAATTATGAACTATGAACTGAACTAGTTCATTTTAAAATGTGTGAACTGAACTTTGAACTAGTTCACGTAGAAAGAGAACTTTCCCAACACTGGATTTCAGTTCACGTTAATGACAGATCTTCCTCATGCTCAAAGGTTACCTGTGGAGTACCGCAGGGATCAGTGCTAGGACCAATTCTCTTTACTATACAGTAGAAGCCATTCAAAATTTACCCAGTTTCCTTAATGGGTCCTTGGCTGGTCCCCTAAGATTCCTTAATTATTCCATCAATCTTTGTACTAAAATATTCTTTCTGTCATGATTTGTGGACGTTAAGATCTAAAGAGAAGCGTCATCTGAATGGCTGAATGTTGGAGGGGATTTTGTTGGGAGTTGTAAGGAAGTGGTCTGCCATTTGACAGGGAAGGGCCATTTTCCATGGCTGTTACTGCATATGTGCCCCCAATCAGTATAGAATTATTAGACAGAATGGGATTAATTTCCATTGTTATGCTGATGATACTCAGCTATATGTGTCTATAAATCCAGATGAAACTAACCCATATGCTACATACCAGTAGTCTATGTAAACATAGACAATGGGCAATTTGTGTCTCCAGGGGGATCCTGACTAACCTGACGTAGTCCTACTGAATTCTAGTCAGAATCTGAGTCTGATGCTGCTCCATAGAGCTGTGATTATGGGGCGTGTTTCGAACGAACCAGGAAAAAAAAATGGCTCTGCACTCAATTGGATAGACCTACAACCAATAAGAGCAACGGAGTGCGTGACGTATGTTAAACTTCCTGACCTCAAACGTAAAACGTTACCTACTATGTTTACAACATGGGATTAAAATCACGACATTGCGAGTTATTTACTAAATCAGACGGTCAGATGATCTGTTAACATTTGTAAGTTAGATGAACTTCGTCCACGACGATACCCATAACGTTGGCTTGAAAAACATCGGAGCCTAGCATGTCCCTCCATTTGTTGTTCAGCAGCCAGGATTTTGGGCTCCTGAAAAGGAGCTGACAACGACCGCTGGCTATATCCACCTCGTCGTTCACGCCGAGTTGCATCGCCGTTTGGTGACGTGGTTGATTATGATCCTGACCCCACTTTAGGAACTCCTGATCTATAGGTAAACTACTGGATGCATGTGTAGTTCTGGCATTTTTATTGATTTAGTGACTGATTGTTAACTTGGATCTTGGATCAAAATCTGTGAATCCGACACTTTATTTCATTTTACAGTAAAAACAGAGCAAGCCATAAAAAATCTTTTTCTAATGAGGATAAACTGACCACAGATAATTTTCAGACCTCTGCACTTCAGCATAGGCTGACAAAAACAAACAATATGTAAAACAGAAAAACGATTTTTTGCAAATCATAGCCGTCAGGCAGTGATGGTTTAGAGCAGAATAACATGGAGGGGCATCTGTGTTTCTGCAAGGCAACGCTCTGCAAGCAGAGAGAAATCCTTTTTGTTTTCCTTTGTTCTGACACGTTCCTCTGTAAATCGTGTCTCTCCAGCAAAGCGTCCAAACATCGGGAAGGCTGGGAATTAATAGAATGTTTCTGTCAAAGCCCCTGTGTTTTCCCTTTTTTTTTGGCTGCATAAAACACTAAGCAGTGCTTCAATTCAAAGCCAAATAACTCCATTAATTCCTGTGTAAGTCAGCGTACATGCAGCGCAGGACAAAGATAATCTCTACCTGGGTTCCCTTCTTCTGCTTTAATTCAATTCAGTTTATTTCTATAGCGCCAAATTCACAACACATGTCATCTCAGGTCACTTTACAGTTCAGCAGATCTTTCAGGCAAATTGGGTCAAAGTTGTATCTAATCTTCTATCTAAGTAAAACCAGTTGATTGCATCGACTCATTGACTCTTCAGCAATCCCTCACACTAAGCATGCTTGTAGCGACAGTGGAGAGGAAAAACTCCCTTTGAACAGGAAGAAACCTCCAGCAGAACCAGGCTCAGTGTGAGCGGCCATCTGCTGAGGCCCACTGGGGTTCAAGGAGACAGAAGCAGACATAGAAAAAGAAGCATAGATACAAAAGGTTACTGTAAAAGGCGGCCCCATCCAGGAAACACACAGCCAGGCAGACGAGCTCCGAGCCAGCTCCCATGTCAGAGGATGAAGAGAGCACATCCAGTTAGTCACAGTCAGAGAAGCAGGACTACACTGGAAAACAGGCCAAGCTCCAACATCTAGAAACAAAGGTGTTGATGGCAGCAGCACAGCTGATATTTCTCTCCAGGATGGAGTCACAGCCAAACAGGAACAGACCAGATGAAGCTACTATGAGAAAAAGCAGAGAGAGCAGAACGTTAGAGATTGAACTAACAGATTCTGCAGAGTGGGAGAATAGAGATAGAATGAAGCAGAATGATGAAAAAGGGGTCCCTATGTCCTCCAGCAGTCTAAGCCTATAGCAGCAGAACTATAGAGATAGCTCAGGATAACCTGAGCCACTCTAACTAGAAGCTTTATCAAAAATGAAAGTTTTAAGCCTAGCCTTAAAAGTAGACAGGGTGTCTGCCTCACTGACTAAAACTGGTAGTTGGTTCCACAGGAGAGGAGCCTGATAACTAAAAGATCTGCCTCCCATTCTACTTTTAGAAATTCTAGGAACCACTAGTAAACCTGCAGATTGAGAGCGAAGTGCTCTGTTAGGAACATAAGGAACAATCAGATCTCTGATATCAGATGGAGCTTGGCCATTTAAGGCTTTGTATGTGAGAAGGAGGATTTTAAATTCTATTCTGGATTTAACAGGAAGCCAATGAAGAGAAGCCAGGATAGCAGAGATATGATCTCTCTTTTTCATTTCCATCAGAACTCTGGCTGCAGCATTTTGGATCAGCTGAAGGCTTCTAACTACAGTCCCTGATAGTAAAATCCACAAATTGTGGATAGTTTCATCTTTATTGTTTCTTTAAATCCATTTCATGGTTTACAGATAAACTCAGATATCAGAATCCTGTTTTGCTCTATTATCTGTGTTTCAGCAGCGATATAGCAAACCTATGTAGATGCAGGCGTCTACGACGAGGCTAATTAATTAAACACCCGGACCGGTTCAAACCAGCCTGAAGGTGAAACCAGCTGCGGCTCTCACTTCCTCATCCAGCCTTCCTCACTAAGCGCTTTTAAACCTCTCTGAGATCATAACCGTTTCCTTCTCAACCATCTGATTGATTTCACTGCAGATTCTCATCACCGGCCTTCAGCTTGTCTCTTTACTGCTGTTATGGAAGGTATCCCAGAAACAATCATTAGGATATTTCATAGGTTGAAAACATCTGTAACAGGAGATGAAAGGCAGCAGTGTTTCCTCGTATCAGGCCTTTTACGTCCTGCTCTGTTCACAGATTTTTCAGCATCTTCTGTGACCTTTGTTTCACTGTTTAGTGCCATCAGTTTAAAACTGTCATCATAAACATGACAGAGTCGTAAAAGAGAAAAGACTTTACTGCTATGAAGTAACTCTCGTTTTAACGCAGAATTCTTTGGTCACGTTAAAACACTTATTCCCACCGGTGAAAATGATTGATTAGAGAGTTTAACCGATCAGAAAACCGAGTTTGGGGGGGGGCTTTAAAACTAAAAGAGGGGTGTTTTGGTTTAAACTCCTGGTTTGAGAGAGAAGTTTGAGAGAGAAGAATCTGCCGCAGCTGCTGCCAATGTCTGCAGTTCGTGGAAATTGATGATCCAGTACTGTTTGGTCCGCTGGCGGCTCTGCTTGGTAGGATTTGTTTGACCCCTCATCTGGGGAAGCAACATTCCAGGGGCTTTTTGGCCCACTAGGGTATCTGTACCTGGACTGCCAGGGAATGTCTGCTTCTCTAGTAGTCTGCTTGGGTCCTGGGAACCAGAGGGGCCGCCCCTCTAGATCCCCCCCTGGGATTGAATTTAGTTCCCCTGGAACAAGCAGTTCTCCGCTAAGCCTGATGGTGGCACCAGTGATCCATCATGTGGAGTTTCCTACTTTGACATTTTAAAGCTGGTATATTCACAAACACATAATGCAAAAAGCATCAGAAAATATAGAGATAAAGAGGAAATAAAAGGACTGATACAGAATGTTTGCTCATTTATGAGATTTTCTAAGGCAGAGTTAGTCTCTGCAGTCTCCTCTAAAGATAAACAACATTGCTCCACCCATTTAATGTATTTATCATATAGAACCATAAATCAATTTGAACATCACTAATCTGGAAATTAATTTTTTTAATTTAACCTTTATTTAACCAGGAAAAATCCCATCGCGATTAAAAACCTCTTTTTTAAGGGAGTCCTGGCCAAGAGGCAGCAAAGTTACATAATAAACTGAGATATATTAAATTAAATGACAGGAACATAAAAAATAATAATTTCAAGTAAAATAATTACAGATCATGAGGCTGCTTTAAATTCTTTCACTTTTAACTTAAAAGCATTTAAAGATAAAAACTTTGTCAACTTCTAGTTTCTGTGTTAAATATCTTAGATATAATGATGTTGGAGCTTGGCCTGTTTTCCAGTGTAGTCCTGTTTCTCTGACTGTGACTAACTGGATGTGCTCTCTTCATCCTCTGACATGGGAGCTGGCTCGGAGCTCGTCTGCCTGGCTGTGTGTTTCCTGGACGGGGCCGCCTGTGGAGCTGGTTGACAGTTGCCTTTTGTATCTATGCTTCTTTTTCTATGTCTGCTTCTGTCTCCTTGAACCCCAGTCAGCCTCAGCAGATGGCCGCTCACACTGAGCCTGGTTCAGCTGGAGGTTTCTTCCTGTTAAAAAGGAGTTTTTCCTCTCCACTGTTGCTACAAGCTTGCTTAGTGTGAGGGATTGCTGAAGAGTCAATGAGTCGATGCAATCAGCTGGTTTTCCTTAGAGAGAAAACTTTTAACCAATCCGACTGTAAGATCTGGTTAAATGGTTTATAAATGACCTGAGATGGCACGTGTTGTGAATTTGGGCAACAGAAATAAACTGAATCGAATTGAAGATGACCAAGTAACTGCATTGATGCATGTGGTGATCATGGAGGAATGAGGGTTTTAGAGGTTTGTTTTCTGTGACTCACCAAGACAGGTCGCTGCTTGGCGACCAAAGTGGACGGTATCCAGGCATACGGTACACTTGGCGGCCCTCATGTTTAGTCCCACTGTGAATCGGTGAGGGGTGTTGTGGTGGAGCGACCTCTCTCTCTCCCGCTCTCGGTCTCTCTGGCTGTCCTTCAAACGGCGGCTGTACTCTGAATACAGACAGGAAGCAGAGTGAGGGCACCCGGCCCCAGCCTCTCCTACAGGTACATCCAAAACCTCAAAACCTCAGAGCGTCACGCTGCAAAAGGAACTGGAAGACGTGGAGCAGAATGCGTGAGGGAGTAAACTCTGAAGACAAAACGCTTGAAAAGTCGAATCATTTCTAATCGTTGGGTTTACTGTAGCTTGTAGCGACGTTTCTGAATGTCAAAGGGATTATCCAGTCAGGGTGAAATGTCTTTAATGTGTTTTTGTCTTGAAATGCTCTGAACTTCCTTATCAATGCGTTTTGCACCGTGTTTTTTTTTTCTCCTACACTGTTTACATTTGATCACTGCTGCACTTTATAGAATAGAAATGTTTATTCACTGTCTGCAAGCTGCACAAAACTAAATTTCGTTTTTCATACACTATGTATACAAAATGACAATAAAAGCTGTCTATATTAATGTGTATGCTGAAGAAAATAGCCCGACTCACACGCATTTTTAGAGCCGACAATGATTTTAGATGATTACATTTTTATTTAGTGCTTAACAGTCAAATAAATGTTTGATCGGTGGATTGTCTCTGCTTCATGTCTGAGCTGTGACTCTCACTGAAACTGATGAAACTAATAAAGAAGTTATTTCTTTCTGCAATTATTCAAAGCAAATTATCAGAAAAACACAAAAAATAATACAAAAAAATTCAAATTGTTTAGTTTCAGGACTACGGAAGAGGATTAGGGGCACTGAAAAAAAAAAAAAAAAAGCCCCTGGACTGTTGCTCCCCCTGATTTTTTTTATTTTATTTCAGTATAGTATGGGAAAAAAGTCAGAATTCTGACTTTAATGTCAGAATTTTGACTTTTTTCTCAGAATTCTGACTTTAATCTCAGAATTCTGACTTTTTTCCCAGAATTCTGACTTTTTTATTGTCAGAATTTAGTCCGAATTCTGAGAAAAAAGTCAGTTTTGTTAAACTGAAATATAATTTAAAAATCAGTTAACTTTTCTTTTTTTTTTCAGTGGCCCTAATCCTCTTCCATACAGGACCATTTAATTATCCAGTTACTTTATTTCAATCATAAGCACTGGAAAAACAATCTGGAAATAAGTAAAGAATTCTCAAATTAAGTGTATTTACCCTTGATTTGAATAGGTAAATGAGACAATTTCCCAATCGAATTAGTCTTTTTACTCTTAAAATAAGATAATTAGATAATATGCACTTGCAATAAGACGATGCAATTGTGCACTGGAATCTAGAAATAAGTGAACATTCCTTAAATTAACAGTATTTACCCTTAATTTGAGTAGGTAAATGAGATAGTTTGCCAATGGAATGAGTATTTTTATTCTTAAAATAAGATAATTAGATAATATGACTTATAATAAGACAATGTAATTGTGTTTTCTTATTTTAAGTATAAATTGTCTTGTTCCATTGGCAAAATGTCTCTTTAACCACCTAAGTCCAAGAAAAAATGCACTAATTTTAAGAAAAAAATGACTTCTAGATTTCGATTTTTTTCCAGTGTGTGGCAAAATTTCTTATTTTATTATCTCCTCAATTCAAGAGAAAATGCACTTATTTTAAGGAAAAATGGAGTTATGTAGATTTTGATTTTTTCCAGTGCAGTGAATTTGCTGAGGTGAATAAACTGTAATCGCCGCAGCAATCACTGCAGTTCTCCACTGTTTCACCTCTGCTTTGGAAATGGATGCAGCTTTGCAGGAAGAACCGAGGAAGACAAACCACAGCCTGTTGATGAAGAGGAACAAAAGCACCAACTACACTGCAAAAAACGAAATCTACATAAGTCATTTTTTTCTTCAAATAAGTGCATTTGTTCTTGAATTGAGGAGGTAAAAGAGACATTTTGCCAATGGAACGAGACAATTTACATTTAAAATAAGAAAACACAATTGCATGTCTTATTTCAAGTGCATATTATCTAATTATCTTATTTTAAGAGTAAAAATACTCATTCAATTGGCAAACTATCTCATTTACCTAATTAAAATAAGGATAAATACTCTTAATTTAAGAAAATCTTACTTATTTCTAGATCGTTTTTGCAGTGTAAATGTACAGAGATGCTTTTACTGTTAGGATTTAAATCCTTTTCTCATCTACGGTAAGAACTTGGATGCAGCTATGAGGTGATATTAGCGATAATATTCATTAGAAATCTGGCTCTGCCCTGGTTTGCCATTTGGTGATGTTTATCCCTGTCATTATGAAATCCAACAGTCAGGTGCTTTTCTCAGATGACAGCTCCTGTGTGGGCGCGAGATGAGAGGTCAGCCTAGCTCCCCATCAGTCCCTCCCCCGTAGAAATAAACAGCAACACAGACAGCTGAGCACAAAGACAGAAGAATCCACAATCAAACCATCTACCACTGATTTATACAGAAGCATTTCCTTTTAACAACCGCCACAGATTAGTTAATCAAGCTAAGTCGATCTGCTAAACTTAACCTATATTTGATTCTTCTTTGCTCCAATGACAGAGCTCCATGTTTCCCACCAAAAATGATCTAGAAATAAATGAAAATTTCTTAAATTAAGTTTATTTATCCTTAATTTGAGTAGATAAATTAGATGATTTGCCAATAGAATGAGATTTGTTTATACACTGGAAAAAATCCAAATCTTGATAAGTCATTTTTTCTTAAAATAATCTTTACATGTTTTTTGATTGAGTAAATAAAAGTGACATTTTGCCAATGGAACAAGACAATTTACTCTTAAAATAGGAAAACACAATTGCATTGTCTTATTTCAAGTGCATTTTATCTAATTATCTTATTTAAAGAGTAAAAATACTAATTCCATTGGCAAACTATCTCATTTACCTACTCAAATTAAGGGTAAATACACTTAATTTAAGAAAATTTTACTTATTTCTAAATCATTTTTCCAGTGTAACCTGATTCCGTCAGATGGATTTGCTCCGCATATCCATCTGGAAACCTTCCGTTGAAGTAATTTTGGGAAGGGGCGAAAATACTGGTTAGCTGATTGGCCTATGCTGGTGATTGACGGGCCAAATAAACCAATCAGATCAACGAAGCATATGACGTACTAACAGAGCGACGACGAAGAGGAGCCAATTGATAGATCAAACTCTTGCCGAAACCAGTCGGGAGAAGAGCAAAAACATCTTTTCCTCTGAGAAAAGCCTCCAGAGCAGTGTTTTGCTCTTCTTTCAGTGAAGAAATACTCTGTAATTCCGATAAAACTTGCTCGATAGCCACGCTAACGCTAGTTTCATCGGCTGAAGCCGCCGTGTTCTTTAGACTGAACTGTCGCGCTTCTCGTTGCGTCACACCTCAACCCGCCTCAAAGCCAACGCTGATTGGACGTTCGTTTGGTGAACGGCTCCAAATTCTCTTTAACGGAGAGTCTCCAGACTGATCATCGAGTGAAACCTTGAAATCTCCCGAGATCAGGATGGTCTCACGAGGCTAATTTGTTTACTCTTAAATACGATAATTAGAAAATATTCACTTGAAATAAGACAATGCAATTGTTTTTTTCTTATTTTAAATGTAAATTGTCTCCTTCCATTGGCAAAGTCTCTCACCTACCTCCTCAATCCAAGAAAAAAATCACTTATTTTAAGAAAAAATTACTTATTTAGATTTACATTTTTTGCAGCGTACTCATTCCATTGGCAAACTATCTCATTTACAGACTCAAATTAAGGGTAAATACACTTAATTGAAGAAAATTGTACTTATTTCTAGATTATTTTTCCAGTGCAAATCTTCCTTCATACACTGCTAAAAATTTAAATCTAAATAGACATTTTTTTTCTTTAAATAAGTGCATTTGTTCTTGAATTGAGGAGGTAAGTGAGACAGTTTGCTAATGGAACAAGACAATTTAAGAGTAAATATACTCATTCCATTGGCAGACTATGTCGTTTACCTACTGAAATTGAGAGTAAATACACTTAATTCTAGAAAATCTTTCTAGATAATTTTTCAACACTGCAAAAACGATCTACAAATAAGTAAAAATTTATTAAATCAAGTGAATTTACTCTTAATTTGAGAGGGAAAATAGGGTGATTTGCCAATGGAATGAGTATTTTTACTCTTAGAATAAGTTAATTAGATAATATGCACTTGAAATAAGACAATGCACTTCTTTTTTCTTATTTCAAGTGTAAATTGTCTTGTTTTATTGGCAAAATGTCTCACTTACCCCCTTAATTGAAGAGAAAATGCACTTATTTGAAGAAAAAAATTACTTTATTAGATTTACATTTTTTGCAGTGCAGTGTAATAAACCATTCCTTACACTGGAAAAACGATCTAGAAATATGTAAAAAAATTCTTAAATTAAGTGTATTTACCCTTAATTTCAGTGGGTGAATAAGAGGATTTGTCAATGGAATGAGTATTTTTACTTTTAAAATAAGATAATTAGATAAAATGCACCTGAAATAAGACAATGCAATTTTTTTTTTCTTATTTTAATGGTAAATTGTCTTGTTCCGTTGGCAAAATGTTTCTCTTACCTCCTTAATCCAAGAACAAATGCACTTATTTTAAGAAAAAATTACTTATCTAGATTTTGATTTTATCCAGTGTTGGCAAGCTATCTCATTTACCAACTCAAATTAAGGGTAAATACACTTAATTGAACAAAAAGTTTACTTATTTCTAGATTATTTTTCCAGTGCAAATCTAAATAGACATTTTTTTTCTTTAAATAAGTGCATTTGTTCTTGAATTGAGGAGGTAAGTGAGACAGTTTGCTAATGGAACAAGACAATTTAAGAGTAAATATACTCATTCCATTGGCAGACTATGTCGTTTACCTACTGAAATTGAGAGTAAATACACTTAATTCTAGAAAATCTTTCTAGATAATTTTTCAACACTGCAAAAACGATCTACAAATAAGTAAAAATTTATTAAATCAAGTGAATTTACTCTTAATTTGAGAGGGAAAATAGGGTGATTTGCCAATGGAATGAGTATTTTTACTCTTAGAATAAGTTAATTAGATAATATGCACTTGAAATAAGACAATGCACTTCTTTTTTCTTATTTCAAGTGTAAATTGTCTTGTTTTATTGGCAAAATGTCTCACTTACCCCCTTAATTGAAGAGAAAATGCACTTATTTGAAGAAAAAAATTACTTTATTAGATTTACATTTTTTGCAGTGCAGTGTAATAAACCATTCCTTACACTGGAAAAACGATCTAGAAATATGTAAAAAAATTCTTAAATTAAGTGTATTTACCCTTAATTTCAGTGGGTGAATAAGAGGATTTGTCAATGGAATGAGTATTTTTACTTTTAAAATAAGATAATTAGATAAAATGCACCTGAAATAAGACAATGCAATTTTTTTTTTCTTATTTTAATGGTAAATTGTCTTGTTCCGTTGGCAAAATGTTTCTCTTACCTCCTTAATCCAAGAACAAATGCACTTATTTTAAGAAAAAATTACTTATCTAGATTTTGATTTTATCCAGTGTTGGCAAGCTATCTCATTTACCAACTCAAATTAAGGGTAAATACACTTAATTGAACAAAAAGTTTACTTATTTCTAGATTATTTTTCCAGTGCAAATCTAAATAGACATTTTTTTTCTTTAAATAAGTGCATTTGTTCTTGAATTGAGGAGGTAAGTGAGACAGTTTGCTAATGGAACAAGACAATTTAAGAGTAAATATACTCATTCCATTGGCAGACTATGTCGTTTACCTACTGAAATTGAGAGTAAATACACTTAATTCTAGAAAATCTTTCTAGATAATTTTTCAACACTGCAAAAACGATCTACAAATAAGTAAAAATTTATTAAATCAAGTGAATTTACTCTTAATTTGAGAGGGAAAATAGGGTGATTTGCCAATGGAATGAGTATTTTTACTCTTAGAATAAGTTAATTAGATAATATGCACTTGAAATAAGACAATGCACTTCTTTTTTCTTATTTCAAGTGTAAATTGTCTTGTTTTATTGGCAAAATGTCTCACTTACCCCCTTAATTGAAGAGAAAATGCACTTATTTGAAGAAAAAAATTACTTTATTAGATTTACATTTTTTGCAGTGCAGTGTAATAAACCATTCCTTACACTGGAAAAACGATCTAGAAATATGTAAAAAAATTCTTAAATTAAGTGTATTTACCCTTAATTTCAGTGGGTGAATAAGAGGATTTGTCAATGGAATGAGTATTTTTACTTTTAAAATAAGATAATTAGATAAAATGCACCTGAAATAAGACAATGCAATTTTTTTTTTCTTATTTTAATGGTAAATTGTCTTGTTCCGTTGGCAAAATGTTTCTCTTACCTCCTTAATCCAAGAACAAATGCACTTATTTTAAGAAAAAATTACTTATCTAGATTTTGATTTTATCCAGTGTTGGCAAGCTATCTCATTTACCAACTCAAATTAAGGGTAAATACACTTAATTGAACAAAAAGTTTACTTATTTCTAGATTATTTTTCCAGTGCAAATCTAAATAGACATTTTTTTTCTTTAAATAAGTGCATTTGTTCTTGAATTGAGGAGGTAAGTGAGACAGTTTGCTAATGGAACAAGACAATTTAAGAGTAAATATACTCATTCCATTGGCAGACTATGTCGTTTACCTACTGAAATTGAGAGTAAATACACTTAATTCTAGAAAATCTTTCTAGATAATTTTTCAACACTGCAAAAACGATCTACAAATAAGTAAAAATTTATTAAATCAAGTGAATTTACTCTTAATTTGAGAGGGAAAATAGGGTGATTTGCCAATGGAATGAGTATTTTTACTCTTAGAATAAGTTAATTAGATAATATGCACTTGAAATAAGACAATGCACTTCTTTTTTCTTATTTCAAGTGTAAATTGTCTTGTTTTATTGGCAAAATGTCTCACTTACCCCCTTAATTGAAGAGAAAATGCACTTATTTGAAGAAAAAAATTACTTTATTAGATTTACATTTTTTGCAGTGCAGTGTAATAAACCATTCCTTACACTGGAAAAACGATCTAGAAATATGTAAAAAAATTCTTAAATTAAGTGTATTTACCCTTAATTTCAGTGGGTGAATAAGAGGATTTGTCAATGGAATGAGTATTTTTACTTTTAAAATAAGATAATTAGATAAAATGCACCTGAAATAAGACAATGCAATTTTTTTTTTCTTATTTTAATGGTAAATTGTCTTGTTCCGTTGGCAAAATGTTTCTCTTACCTCCTTAATCCAAGAACAAATGCACTTATTTTAAGAAAAAATTACTTATCTAGATTTTGATTTTATCCAGTGTTGGCAAGCTATCTCATTTACCAACTCAAATTAAGGGTAAATACACTTAATTGAACAAAAAGTTTACTTATTTCTAGATTATTTTTCCAGTGCAAATCTAAATAGACATTTTTTTTCTTTAAATAAGTGCATTTGTTCTTGAATTGAGGAGGTAAGTGAGACAGTTTGCTAATGGAACAAGACAATTTAAGAGTAAATATACTCATTCCATTGGCAGACTATGTCGTTTACCTACTGAAATTGAGAGTAAATACACTTAATTCTAGAAAATCTTTCTAGATAATTTTTCAACACTGCAAAAACGATCTACAAATAAGTAAAAATTTATTAAATCAAGTGAATTTACTCTTAATTTGAGAGGGAAAATAGGGTGATTTGCCAATGGAATGAGTATTTTTACTCTTAGAATAAGTTAATTAGATAATATGCACTTGAAATAAGACAATGCACTTCTTTTTTCTTATTTCAAGTGTAAATTGTCTTGTTTTATTGGCAAAATGTCTCACTTACCCCCTTAATTGAAGAGAAAATGCACTTATTTGAAGAAAAAAATTACTTTATTAGATTTACATTTTTTGCAGTGCAGTGTAATAAACCATTCCTTACACTGGAAAAACGATCTAGAAATATGTAAAAAAATTCTTAAATTAAGTGTATTTACCCTTAATTTCAGTGGGTGAATAAGAGGATTTGTCAATGGAATGAGTATTTTTACTTTTAAAATAAGATAATTAGATAAAATGCACCTGAAATAAGACAATGCAATTTTTTTTTTCTTATTTTAATGGTAAATTGTCTTGTTCCGTTGGCAAAATGTTTCTCTTACCTCCTTAATCCAAGAACAAATGCACTTATTTTAAGAAAAAATTACTTATCTAGATTTTGATTTTATCCAGTGTTGGCAAGCTATCTCATTTACCAACTCAAATTAAGGGTAAATACACTTAATTGAACAAAAAGTTTACTTATTTCTAGATTATTTTTCCAGTGCAAATCTAAATAGACATTTTTTTTCTTTAAATAAGTGCATTTGTTCTTGAATTGAGGAGGTAAGTGAGACAGTTTGCTAATGGAACAAGACAATTTAAGAGTAAATATACTCATTCCATTGGCAGACTATGTCGTTTACCTACTGAAATTGAGAGTAAATACACTTAATTCTAGAAAATCTTTCTAGATAATTTTTCAACACTGCAAAAACGATCTACAAATAAGTAAAAATGTATTAAATTAAGTGAATTTACTCTTAATTTGAGAGGGAAAATAGGGTGATTTGCCAATGGAATGAGTATTTTTACTCTTAGAATAAGTTAATTAGATAAAATGCACTTGAAATAAGACAATGCAATTGTGTTTTCTTATTTTAATTGTAAATTGTCTTGGTCCATTGGAAAAATGTATCCTTTACCTCCTCAATCCAAAAACAAATGCACTTATTTTAGGAGAAAATGAATTAGAAAGATTTAGATTTTTTCTAGTGTACTATCCTCACATTGAAACATGGTGGTAGTTGCATCATGCTGTGGGGATAGCTTTCTTTATTTGCTCTAATTGTGTCTTGTCAGGACTGGATAATTCCTTCAGCTCAGAACGTGGTTTCAAATGATTTGCATTGCAGAGTTTATCACATGGTGACAAGGGAAGTTTAGGTGGACTGTAGTCGGCTGAGTAACAGAGAAACGTTCGGGGAATGAGACTGAAAGCAGCAACTGGGATAAAAGCTGCTCCAGATTTCTAAAGCTTTGCACTGAAGCTCCTCCGACAAACACAATGGGACCTGACATCTGGGACTGTGCAGAGCTTTTCAAATCTGGCCAAAAAACTGCAAAAACAATGATATAAAATCAAAAAATAAAATACATGACTTTGTACAACTTACTTTCAAATGTGACCCTCCTTCCTTCTGAAAGGTGTGTAAAAGAGGATAGTAAAAGCTGTGTGAATAATTCTTCCAAACGTTGGTATTAGCTTTTAATCATGCTGCGTCGTTGCTGCATCAACAGGTTGTTTTTTTTTAGATTTCAGGCTGTGTTCAGGTGTCTGTGTGACCAAACTCTCTCATGGCGGGGATCGTCCTTCACTCACCCTCTGGTGTTGGAGTGTCCTTCCTGCGTCCGGAGCTGGAGGGGGCCAGGCTGGTGGGGCCCTGCTGGTGGTCTGGAGACTTCACCATGGCAGACATGATGATCTGCTGCCTTGCTGAGGCTGGGTTTGCAGCGCTGCAATGATCCTTGCACTGGAGAGCTGAGAGCAAAGTCATCAGATTAACACGGATCCTCTCTGTTAGACTATTTACTGGTTAAAAACTGGTTCATTGTTTCACAAAATCAAGCATTTTCTTCCTCATTAAATGGGTCAAACTACATCTGTTTCATTTTTCCAAATCTTCTTGATTTTTAAATTCAATTAATGCAACTTTTTAGCTTCTTGAGTATGTTTATTCTACGGAAGAGGATTAGGGCCACTGGGGGAAAAAAAAGTTAACTGATTTTTAAATTTAATTTTTTAATTCTGACTTTTTTTCTCAGAATTCTGACTTTAATCTTAGAATACCTACTCTGCCATCTGCTGGTACTGTACACTGCAAAAAATCTAAATCTAGACTAGTCATTTTTTTCTTAAAATAAGTGCATTTGTTCTTGAATTGAGGAGGTAAAAGAGACATTCTGCCAATGGAACAAGACAATTTACACTTAAAATAAGAAAACACAATTGCATTGTCTTATTTGAAGTGCATATTATCTAATTATCTTATTTTAAGAGTAAAATTACTCATTCCATTGGCAAACTATCTCATTTAACTACTCAAATTAAGGGTGAATACACTCAACTTAGGAAATTTTTACTTATTTCTAGATCGTTTTTGCAGTGTACGCTCTTCTTAATGTAAAGAACAAAAATGCCATATCTAAGATTATTAAGGTGTGCAGTAAGATCACGGGTGTTCAACAGAAAAACATGACTGAAATGTATTAAGATCAGGTAATCTGGAAGGCTGAGTCCATTTTGGATAATTATACCCATCCCCTACATAACGAATTTCAGTTTCTACCCTCTGGTTCCCGTTTTAAATACCCACCAGTTCGGACCAACAGATACAAACACTCCTTTATTCCCTCTGCTCTTCAGCTGCTAAACTCTACCAGGAAAAGCAGATAGCCATATGTTGCATGCATTCAGGCCTATGCTCTCATTTGCACATATTTATTTACTTTTTATTATTTTTTTTTACATTTCTGTCTCTTTTATCCACCTTACTTTTATCTTTTTAAATATTTATGTGTCTCTTGTGCTTCTTTTATTTTTTATCTGTGATTTGTGAAATGTGAAAATGTGTGTGAAAGGTGTACTACTACTGCACAAAATTGCCCATACTGGGACAAATAAAAGCTACTGAACTGAACTGAACTGAGAATTCTGACTTTAATCTCAGAATTCTGGATCTTAATGTAGATGGGAACCATGAAGGGAGAGATGTGGAGCACTCAGCTTCACTGACAAAGATGTGAGTTGTTTGAGAGGGCCAGTAACACATTGGTGGAAAATGACGGAATTAGGCAACTTTTGATGTGCCCGAGGGGTCCCCTCATTAATGGAGGAGCAGAAGGTCATTAAAACAAGAGAGCTAGTCTCTAAAACCCACATGGCTATGGCTTGATGCTAACATGTTTGTTATCTGTCAGAATTCTGAGAAAAAAGTCAGCATTCTGACTTTTTTCCTATGTTAAACTGAAATAAAATTAAAAAATCAGTTAACTTTTGTCTTTTTTCTTAAGTGGCCCTAATTCTCTTCCGTATTATTCCCCAGATGCTAACATTTTATTTATTTTTTACAAACTAACAGGACTTTTAGCTTATTTCCTGCCTCCTCCTCACTGAGGGCTATAGATGGACAGCAGTAGAACGTTCCTGCTCTGATAAGCTGTTCTGGTCTGAGGGAAAGCTTCACATCTTCTTCATCTTCCCACAGCACTAGATTAGCTGCTAGGAACTTTCTTCATCTATTGGTCCAGAGGAGCCCTGCGATGGACTGGACACCTGTCCAGGTGGACCCCCCTCTTACCCATAGACAGCTGGAGATAGATACAAGCGCCCCTCACCGCCCCACTTCAGATAATCGTGACAGAAGATGGAGGGATGGTCCGGAGGATGCCCATAAAAATCACTAATCCTCCCTCATGTTCTACTCTGGACATGAGGAGCTTTTCCACTTAGGCCAAATTTTGGACCAAAAAGCCCAAACTTTAATCTAAACATTTGGTTCCAGTTAAAAAGTCAAACTTATCTATTTATTTTTTGTTTATCTATCAAAATAAGTATTTTTTTAAGAATATAAGTGCATTTGTTCTTGAACTGAGGGGCTAAGTTTTTTTGTTGTCATTACACTGTGATAAGTACAGAGAAATGGAATGAACTCTCTGCATTTAACCCCTCCCCTTGGGGGACAGTTGGCTGCCATTGTGCGGCGCCCGGGGAGCAGTGTGGATTAAGGGACCCAGAGTGGCAGTCTGTGGGAGTGGGGCTCTAACACTAGGGTGACCAAACGTCCGTATTTCCCGGGACATATCCGTATTTCACGTCCTGTCCCGGGCGTCCCGGGTTTTTTTTTGAAAGTGAGGAAATGTCCTGATTTCACTGCGCACGACGCTCCGTGTGACGTAATCTCTGAGCCGCGTCAGTGCGGGCAGCCCTGTTCTTAATCAGAGGCTCTGTTCGAAAACCTGGGCTGCATCCTCCAAGGAGGCGGTCTACCTAGACTGGATCCTTCCAAGTCCTTGAAAATAAGGAGGCCGGAAGAGTTTTGGCTGTAAAATCGAACAGGTCCACCCTTCAGCGGGTTTTACCGCCGTATGCTCTGTTGCTTAGCAACCGTGAAAGTTGACACACAAAGCAGGAAAAGAATGAATACCGAGGTTTTCAAAACTGTTTGTTTATTTATTTATTTTTTTAAAAGTTAAAGTGAACAAAGACTACACTCACAAGAATCCAGAGTGGAATAAAGATTCCAACCACCGGGAGCAGGAACAAATAAAATCAAATGTAATGATAGAAACCTTAGTCAGTTAAATAACCTGCTGCTGTCATCCTGCACACTTTTATATTGTTAAAACACTTTACAGTATTATATTGTTTATATTTTAACTCTTCCCTATTATGTTATTCTTATACATTTTTCTAAGGTCCTCATTTGTGTGACCATTTTCAATAATCTTTCTGCTGCTGTAAATTTGCCCATTGTGGGACAATAAAGGGATTTTCTATTCTATTCTATAAAAGGGGTAGAGAGATATAAGTAAATCTAAACAATTTATTTATAAAAAATATATCTGCAAAATCTCTAATATTCAACAACAAAAAATACTTAGTTAAGCATATTGTGCAAAACAACAATAAAAAAATTAAACTCCTTTCAGATTTATAGTCCCCTCTCTGCAGATATATTAGAATCTGTCCTTAAATTCCAGCCAAACTCATTTATACAGTAACAGATAAAAACCTTTAGATAAACCAAACATTACCGCCACATATCTGACTCTATAACCATTAAAACAACTAGTAACAAGTAACATTTCCTCTCATCACGGAGCAACATTTGTTCTTTCAATCAAACCCCCCCACCCACCCACCCCGCTCCAAGGTGTCCTGGTTTTCCCAAATGAAAATATGGTCACCCTATCTAACACAGAACCTCAGGATTCCAAGTGCAGTGCCCTAACCACTGGGCCACCACTCCCCAAAGCAGGCATTAGCGTGAGCTCACTCCCCCCAGCTGGATAGGAACCCAGGCTTCCTGTTTGCAGCACAGATGACTTACCACTTGAGCTAGCCAGCTGCTAAGTGAGACACTTTGCCCTTTTAACAAGACAATTTACTTTCAAAATAAGAAAACACAATTGCATTGTCTCATTCCATTGGCAAACTATCTCCTTTACCCACTCAAATTAAGGGTAAATACATTTAATTTAAGATTTTTCACTCATTTCTAAATCGTTTACACTGGAAAAAATCAAACCTAGATAAGTAATTTTTTCTTAAAATAGGTGCGTTTGTTCTTGGATTGAGGAGGTAAAAGATACATTTTGCCAATGGAACAAGACAATTTACATTAAAAATAAGAAAAAAACAATTGCATTGTCTTATTTCAAGTGCATATTATCTAATTATCTTATTTTAAGAGTAAAAATACTCATGCATTGGCAAACTATTTCATTTACCTATTCAAATTAAGGGTAAATACCCTTAATTTAAGAACTTTTTACTTATTTCTCAATAATTTTGCAGTGTATGCAGTGCAACATGTCCCTTTGTACTGCAACTCTCTAATCATGGGCCCTGTTCGAAAACCTAGGACGCATCCTTAGAAGACCGGATTCGAAGGCCGAATAGCGCGCTGAGGTCTGGTCGGATTCCAAGAGTCCTCGTTATGCGGCCTTAAAATGCGTCCTTCTTTTTGCCCGATTTGAAGGACGGGTCCGATGTATCCTCGGTATTCTTGGATATCCCAGGATTCATTGCGAGACCAAGCAAGCTGTGATCAGAGGAAAGGTTACTTGGCGCCGAACAGTGGTGAAAATTGGAAGTTCAGTTTAATATAATATAAGTCATTTAATAGTTCCGTCTGAGATTAATGAAAAATAGTTGTTTTAATGGTTATAGAGTCAGATATGTGGCGGTAATGTTTGGTTTATCTAAAGGTTTTTATCTGTTACTGTGTAAATGAGTTTGGCTGTAATTTAAGGACAGATTCTAATATATCTGCAGGGTGGGGACTATAAATCTGATAGGATTTTTATCTTTTTATTGCTGTTTTGCACAATATGCTTAACTACGTATTTTTTGTTGTTGAATATTAGAGATTTTGCAGATATATTTTTTATAAATAAATTGTTTAGATTTACTTATATCTTTCTACCCCTTTTATAGAATAGAATAGAAAATCCCTTTATTGTCCCACAATGGGCAGATTTACAGCAGCAGAAAGATTATTGAAAATGGTCACACTAATGTGGACCTTAGAAAAATGTATAAGAATAACATAATAGGGAAGAGTTAAAATATAAACAATATAATCCTGTAAAGTGTTTTAACAATATCAATCTGGAGAATTAATAACCAATATGCAGCTATGGACATTTTTACAGTAATGGATATTTGAAAATAGCAGCAACATCAGAGATGTGCAAAATGACAGCAGCAGGTTATTTAACTGACTAAGGTTTCTATCATTACATTTGATTTTATTTGTTCCTGCTCCCGGTGGTTGGAGCCTTTATTCCACTCTGGATTCTTGTGAGTGTAGTCTTTGTTCACTTTAACTTTAAAAAAATAAATAAACAGTTTTGAAAACTTCTGTATTCATTCTTTTCCTGCTTTGTGTGTCAACGTTTGCGGTTGCTAAGCAACAGAGCATAGACGGTAAAACCCGCCGAAACTCTTCCGGTCTCCTTATTTTCAAGGACTTCGAAGGATCCAGTCTAGGTAGACCGCGTCCTTGGAGGACACGTCCTAGGTTTTCGAACAGAGCCCTGAGCTTTAAAACCTCTGTGTCACCTTCAATTTATACCCCAGGGAAACAAAATCTTAGAGATAGTTCCAAGGAAATAAATAAAAAAACAAAGTGTAAAATAAATAAAAAACTTTTTTTTGCAGGTATATATCGGTACTGCAAAAACTAACTAGATATAAATCAACTATTTTTAAATTTAGCTTATTAACCCTTGATTTGAGAAGGTAAATTTGGAACTGGAATTAGTTTTTTTACTCTTAGAATAAGATAATTAGATAATATGCACTAGAAATAAGACAATGCAATTATTCTTTCGTATTTTAAATGTAAACTGTCTTGCTCCATTGGCAAAGTGTCTCACTTACCTCCTCAATTCAAGAAAAATGCACTTATTTTAAGAAATAATTACTTATTTAGATTAACATTTTTGTACAGAGTGTTTACATTCACTGCAAAAAATCTGAATCTAGATAAGTCATTTTTTTCTTAAAATAAGTGCATTTGGTCTTGAATTGAGGAGGTAAAAGAAACATTTGCCAATGGAACAAGATAATTTACACTTAAAATAAGAAAACACAATTGAATCGTCTTATTTCAAGTGCATTTTATCTAATTATCTTATTTTAAGAGTAAAATTGCTCATTCCGTTGGCAAACCATCTCATTTACCTGCTCAAATTAAGGGTAAATACACTCAATTTAAGACGTGTTTTACTAATTTTTAGATAGTTTTTGCAGTGTTTATAGTAGCAGTTCCAATAGTTGACCTAACAGTGATTCTTCTTTAAATAGTTGGTTCTTTCCTCTGAGTAGAGTTGCTGAAATTAAAGGTTAGATTTTCCTAATCTGCAAAATGATGATACCAGAAAACACTGCAAAAGCAATCTAGAAATTAGTAAAACAATTAAGTGTATTTACCCTCTCTTTGAGTAGATACATAAGATGATTTGCCAATAGAATGAGTATTTTTACTTTAAAAATAAGATAATTAGAAATAATTGAAATAAGACAATGCAATTGTTTTTATCTGGTCAATTGCCTTCTTCCATTGGCAAAGTGTCTCAATTACCTCCTCAATTCAATAAGAAATGAGACGGCATGAAAATCAGAGTTACATTTTTGCAGTGAAACTGTTAATCTATGGAACATTTTTATCAGGAATGTTAACAAACATGACCAGCTCTGTGTCTGCTGAGTCTAAACTAAACTTCTGTGACCAGTTAGTCAACCTCTGTTTGTCTGAATCCTGTAGGCTGTAAAAATGTCAGACATCCAGTAGTTTACTGACTGATAATATTCAGATCTCTACACTACTGTAGGTCAATCCCACCTTCTTCCCTCAGAGATCGCAGCTCCGCTCTCATTTTCTGCAGAGCATCTTCCAGCTCAGAGCATCGAGTGCGCTCTTTATCCAGAGCCGCCTTCATGTCGCTGTACTGCAGAGGTACGGGCTGGATGGGGGGCACGGGGGACACCTGGCCTTGACCCTGACTCTGACCCTGCGCCTGAGCCTGAGCTGCCATGGCTGCTATCAGGTCCTCTCGCCGTCGTCCAAACAGGCCCTGAGGGACACAAAGCAAGCAGAGAAAAAGAGTGGAGAGCGGCTCTGGAAGCGCTCAGCGTCTCTGACCTGGAATGTTAATCCGTCTTACTTTTTTCTTCTTGGAGCCTCCATGGGCCTGGGACTGGAGGAAGTCTATGAGCTTGGTCTGCTGGGTGATGGTTCCCTCCATTTTCACCTTCTCATGAGAGTATACCGCCTGCAGGTGGAGCTAAGTGAACATCACTACTGCCATGAATTTCTCCTCAAGTACTTCACTTCACACAGAGGGGACACCGAGACATGGGGACGGGTGGACAGAGAGGGGACTGTGTCACGTTTGAACCAGGTTAATGTGGGGGGAGCTGATTTCAACATGAAGGCTTTATCTGCATGCACATGCCGAGCAGAAGCACCTGGATGTTCTCCAGCTGGTACTCCAGGTCCGTCCGCTCGGTTTTCAGTAAGTCGGTCTGATCCAAAGCGTCCTGCAGCCCCTGCGTCAGCCGGAATATATGAGTCTTCTGGGCGTCCAGCTGCTGCTGCAGCTTCTCTTGCTGTGGAGAGAAAAACAGGCCGTTTAAATCACCATCTGAGCGCCGAGCCTTGGGTTGATTTTAAAGGTGAGTCATGAACATCAGAAACGGGGGAACCGAACTTCTTCCAGCAGCCTCTGCTTCACGTCCCGCTCGCTCTCCAGCTTCTGCTGCAGACTGCGGGCGTTCATCTCCAGCATGGAGTGCTTCTTCTCCAAATCGTTCAGCTGAGGAACACAAGAGATGCGGCCGACTTTAGAAACAAACAGGACGAACAGCCAAAAGGTTTCTTTCATTGTGCGGGAAAGCTCACAGTGTCTGCCAGGCTCTCGGCTTTGAGTTTCTGGTCCTTGAGGGCCTGCTGCAGGACCAGGATCTCAGCTTTGTGCTCTTTGACGGCTTGCTCCACAGCCTGACGGGACTCAGAGCAACGCTGCTCGGTACGGAGCCTGACAGGCAGAGAAAAACCTTCATCTTTAAGGTGTTTTCATCATATCTGTGGTCATACATGGCTTTTATTTACTCATCTGTTTGAGTAGGAGCAAACAGGAACTAACTTTTTACTGAACCAGAGGTTTTTTGTTTTCTTCCCTGCCAGTAAAAACAGAAAATAACTTTCCTAAAATAAATCAGGACAACCAGGAGAAGACGCCCTGTTTGTTCCGTCTCTGTGTAGGTGGAACTAGCATTAATAATAACATCTACTGAGAAATAAAATGTGTTTTTTTTCTTTAAAAACAGTGAGGCCTCCGTCCTGTTTGTGGGTAAACAGCCCCTCAGTTATCAGCCGTACACTGAGGCGGCAGGCTGTCACCTGTTCTGTTTCTCAGTGTCCAGCAGCCTCTGGACCTCCCTGGTCCTCCTCTCAGCCTGGTTCTTCTCGTCCTCCAGCGTGGACCTCCAGGCCTCCCATTGTCTCTCCTTCTCCAGCAGCTCATCGTTCAGGCTCTCCAGCTCCACCACCTGTTCCTCCAGCATGGTGCACGTGGTCTTCAGAGTCTCAAGGTTCTGTTCACATCAGAAATATAACCGTTAGCCGATGGTGTTTGGCAATAAATCTACTCTGTTAAACAACATATATCAGCAGAAGTTCAGCTTGAATGCAGTAAATGAGAAATATGAGAAAGAGTTTGTTTATGTAGTTGCACAGCTGTAAGCTGGTTAGCTTGGGGGTCATGATTTTGGCACTGATGGCCGTCTTGATCATTTCATTCACCTGTCTTGCCCTGTTTCTCATTACTGCTCATCTGATCCACCTGCTCCTGCTTCTCTTTAAAGGTATACTATGCAACCGGTGTTGATCTTCCAGCGAGGCTCCCCCCAGTGGGCGAAAGTAAAAGTGCACTGTCGTAAATATGCTCAGCTGTTCTCCTGGTTTCTCCGTCAAGCCAGGCGCGGTTGTTTTGAGCTTAGCAGACAGGCGAACGCAACGAATCACCATACATTTCATACATTATTTGTTATGCATGTGTCTAAATAACAAAGATTGTAGTTAGCCAAGTTCTTGCCGTAAAACAAGACCGACTCTCGCGATGCACGAGACTTCTGAGCTTGTGGGTGCGGGCCGAGGGCTCCTGCAATTGCAAGTACGGTATTTCTCCCACAGACCACCAGGGCGGCCGAGAAAACCTTTGTTACACCTGAAATGACTCATTTAATCATCCAAAATGTTACGGAACACATTAATTAACTGAAAAATGTTGCATAGTGTGCCTTTAAACTCCTTGGTCCCAGCCATCAATGCCAGATTATTCTTGAGCCTGGTGTTGAGAGTTCTCTAGCGTTTCTAAAGTGTTCTGATTGCCTGGTCCTGATATGTTTTTGTATTTAGACCTTTGAGCCTGCCTATCCCTGTCTGATCTGTTTGCCTGTCTTTAGACTCCTGTTGGATTCTTCTGTGGACTGAACCTGGATCTGCCTACTTCCTTGCTTCATCAGCTCAGATCCGACCTCCTGTCAGCTCTGCAGCCTTCTAGGCTTCCGTCTGGAACTCTCTGGCAGCCTCCGCTGCGTCTGTTCGACCGGCTGGAATCATCCTCGGACTCTGGGCACAGACTGAACTGTCAAACCAGGTTAGTGACTCACGCATTCATAGTCATCCTCCGTCAGATTAACGTTGTCATTAATTTGTGTTTCTCTCCTATAGACGTTCCTGCATCAGACGCTGCTGCAGCCGCTGCCACTGCTGATCCTTTAAATCTTCGTTTGAATAAATACATTTTAAGTGTTCCACTGTTTGTCTTGCCTGAATTCTGGGTCCTATATTCTGAGCTTCTGACAAACTCTGCTGCAATCAGGCAGTAGGCGAGGGACTCAGCTTTGATATGTGGGAGTTAAGAGACGGACGCTTCAGTGAGAAGATACTGAAGATCAACCCGGTCTCATGGCCCTGAAATGCTGTGTAGTTTTACGGGAGTGAAAACTTTCCATACAAACTCTTCAAGGCAGAGTTTCTCTTTGATGGCGCAGTGCGACTTCTCTGTTAAATTAATATTTATATCTTCCTTTAACTCAAAGGTAATTAGATTCTTAAAGTTTTTTTTTTTTCACTACATTGAATAAAAATAGAATAGAATAGTAATATCATATAATATGTCACATTATGTTCTATACTATACTATGATAGGATATTATATTACTTTATATTATATTATATTATGCTATTTTAAATTAAATTGTATGATAATATAATATAACATTTTATGGTATTGTATAATATTATATTATATTGGTTAATGTCATCCATATGGGGTGATAATTGCTCAGGGATGAATTAGTTTTATTGATGTAGAGTAAAAGTAAAAAACTCTGGGACTCTTGGACTTTATAAATTGCAATACAACTAAAAATATCTACTATTAGATTAAATCATATGGTGTTAATATATAACAAATTATGTTAATTTATATTGGATTAAGTTGGAATGTTACATATTATATAACAGTCTAACTATAAACCTATGAGGACATCAGACATCAGTGTTCCATCAGACAGCTGATCCTAAACGCTGCTGCCTGTGTTCTCACTAGAGCTGAGAAAGTATAGCACATCAGTTTGAAGTCCTTCCACTGGCTCCCTGTAGCTCAGAGAATAGACTTTAAAATCCTTCTGTTAGTCTAGAAATCACTGAATAGAACATAACAGATCTGGGCAGTGTCCTAGGGCCCCAAGTTCCTGGGGGCCCCATAAAACTCTATTTACATTATTATGTTTTTGATAAAATTCCTTTGGCTAAAATGCCATCAGAACGCTGATAATATTAAGTGTGTCTCAGCCCCCCCCCCTTCAGTGTCCACCATATTGGATCAGTCCATTTGCTGCACATGTTCAGAAAGGTCCAAACAGACAGCAGCAAACCATTTGAAAACAAACCATGCAAAGAGCAGTGTTGCCAACTTAGCGCTTTAGTCGCTATATTTAGCCACTTTTCAGACCCCTCTAGCACTTTGATTTCTAAAAAGCTCCTAGCGCCAAATCTAGTGACTTTTTTCTGCTACTGGAGACTTTGGAGACAACATCTAAAAGCAGCGAACTCTGCTCTCCAGAGCGAGTAGATTGGTAACCCCGCCTCCTTCTCTCCTCTATCTTGTCTGCTGTCATAATTCATGCAGCTATTATTTCATCCAAATGAAAAATGGAGAACAGATAAGCAGATCATGGCTTGTCTACAGTGAAAAGAAGGACTGGGTTATTTACTTTGGCCTTTTTGGAAACACAGGAAGGAGCAATCAGCTAAGTGAGCTTAGTGCTTGGAAAAAATCTTTCATTCCTTTAGAGACAGCATGGAAAGTCAGCTGAGTACAAAACATAGAGAGGAAAACAAGAAGAAAAGGGACAAGAAGAGAGGGACACAACCTAGAACAGATAATGGATGTCTATTCTATTAACATTTCTGTATCTGTGTAATGGGTCTGTTTTATGTGTTGTCTGCTCAATTCAGAGGTCCCCATGCTGGTTTTTGCCTAAGGCCTCAAATTTCCTAAATCGGCCCCTGTATGCTGGAATTGGATACCATTAAACCTGAATGCTTTCATTTCCTGGTGTCCAAAAGAGACATGCTTTAAATACTGTACGAAGGAAAGGAAGCATTACAAAGTGTTAAAAGCTTTCTCAGCTTTTTGGAAGGACTTATAGTCCTGGAAGGCAGAAATGGAAATGGAGATACATTAACAATTAAAAGAAACTATACCTGAAAAACAAAGTATTTTTGAGTTTATACATATAAATATGAGCTTCCACATAGTGGAACACACTTGGATCATCGAATGCTTGGAGCTATACAACATCAACAGGACTCTAAGAACCTTCATTGCAAACTCAGTGAGGTTGTCGAAAACTACCCTTGAAGCCAATGGCAGGATACTTGCACAAGTCTCCATCAAATGTGGCATATAATAAGGAGATGCGCTGTCCCCACTGCTGTTCTGCATAGGCCTGAACCCCCTCAGCCAAATAATCAACAAGACTGGCTACGGGTACCGACTCAGGAACAGGGCCACCATCAGTCACCTCCTCTACATGGATGGCATCAAGGTGTATGTTAAGAATGAGCGAGACATTGACTCACTGATCCATACCACCTGGATCTACAGCACAGACATTTGGATGTGATTCGGACTAGAGAAGTGTGGCTGGATGGTAGCTAAGAGAGGAAAGGTAGTCCACAGACAGGGGGTCTCACTCCCAGAAGCAACAATAGCAGACATTGAAGACAGCTACAAGTACCTTGGAATCCCACAAGCAAAAGGCAACTTCGAAGAGTTCCGTAAAAATTCAAAAAATATCCACTGGACTTGGTTTTCAAGATTTGAAGACGTTTCGCCACCTCTCCAGGAAGCTTTCTCAATTCAAATGTTCCTTCCTGGAGAGGTGGCGAAACGTCTTCAAATCTTGAAAACCAAGTCCAGTGGATATTTTTTGATTTTTTACGGAATGACTATGACCTGGATGACTGAGAACCTTCATCAGCAACTTTGAAAAGGTAACAAGGAAAGCAGCTATGGCCAAATTCCTCCAACGGGTAACGGAGGTCCTAAGGAGCCATCTCAATGGCAAGAATAAGTCTCGGACAATAAATAGCTACGCTCTACCAGTAATCAGATACTAAGCAGGATTAATAAGCTTGCCAAAGGAGGAGGTACAGGCCACAGATATTAAGACACGAAAGCTCTTAACCACGGAATGTACCACCCCAAATCCAGCACCCTGAGACTGTACGCCAACTGTAAGGAAGGAGGCTGAGGACTAATGAGGGTAAGAGCCACTATCCAGGAAGAAAAATCCAAGATCCATAAGTACATCAAGGACAAGGTTCCAACAGGCGACATCCTCACTGAATGTCTCAGACAATGGGGAGCAGACGATGAGGTGCCAGAGACCCCGTCATGGAAGGGTAAGACCCTACATGGGATGTACAACCGGAACATAATCGAAGTGGCAGATATCAGGAAATCCTACCAATGGCTAGACAAAGCCGGACAGAAGGACAGCACAGATACACTCATCATGGCTGCACAGGTGCAGGCCCTAAGCACCAGAGCAACAGAGGTAAAGATCTACCACACCAGACAAGACCCCAGGTGCAGACTGTCCAAAGAGGCCCCTGAGACAATCTAGCACATAACTGCAGGGTGCAAGATACTGGCAGGGAAAGCTTACATGGAGCGCCACAACCAAGTGGCTGGAATAGAATACAGGAACATCTGTGCAGGGTAACGGCTGGAAACCCCAAGGTCAAAGTGGAAAACACCTCCAAAGGTGGTAGAAAATGATCAAGCCAAGATCCTGTAGGACTTCCAAATACAGACGGACCGAATGGTAACGGCAAACCAACCGGACATTGTGGTGGCAGACAAAAAGCAGAGGAAAGCTGTTGTGGTTGCCATAACAATACCAAGAAATTGCAACATCAGGAAAAAAGAACATGAGAAACTAGAGAAATACCAGCGGCTCAGAGAAGAGCTGGAGAAAACCTGAAAGGTCAAGGAATCAGTGGTACCAGTGGTAAT